CGCTATGAAACATTTTGCTTTTGGCTTCATTTCTATCCTAATAAAAACTTTTGATGAACCCCGTCTTTAGTGAGAACTTTGTCAGGGGAATTTTGGTAAAGGCTTGTGGATGTTTATGTTAAATTAATGTGCGAGTTCAGACCTGTTTTACCTCTCAGAGAGGAGCCTGCAGGCACCCGACGCCCCCGAGTCTGTAAGCTGGGATGCGGAGGTCGTCATGACCTGCCTCTGTCTGATAATCAGGCATTATAAAAACACTTCTTGCACACTGTCCGGCGCAGATCCTCGTGACCTGCTTCAATGAAACATCTGCCTGTTGTGAACTCTGCCCTTACAAGAAAAACTGGGTTAAAAAAAAAGCTTCTCCTGCCGTCGTGTGTGGCTCCTTTTAAGTAAGCAAGTAAGATAATGAGATTATATTTTTATCCAACTAGTTGGTCCTTCGAGCCGGATTTGAACCAGCAATCTAAAAAGTCTTTGATTTGTGTCTAAATTTGGAGTGATAAAACAATACTAACTGCTTTAGCTTTAAGTTAGCATTTGTGCTAATTGTTGGTAAGCAATCTGAATTATTATTAGTATTTTAGTATATTAGTATTAGTTGGTGTTTTGGTTTTTTTGGGGGGATCTGTTACTTCTCATTGTTTATAATGCAAGAAAACGTACAAATCAGTATTTTTTTTCATGTAAAATAAACCATAGTCGTTTCAATTTGTAAATTTGTATTTCTGCCAATGTTTTGGATAAACAGTCCTAAGCTTACCAGCTGCCTGCCTCCTGGCGTTTATTAAACTGATCATCACAAATAACCAAATAATCATAACCATTGCGCAATCACATCGCAGTCGCTGAATCATAATCCAAAAGAAACGTGATGCGCCTAAAGATCCCCACCTCTAGTAACAAGAGACAACTTTTAGTTTGATATGTTTTTATCAAGACTGAACCAAAACAATTTATATCCATCACTGTCTCAGCAGTCACTTGCATTCTGCTTCTGCAGGATTTATTGTAAAGTCAGGTTGACAACCTCATGCGTTAACTTGTGCAGTTTTATTCTGAAAAGAAACCCATGGGTTAGTTTTAGGATGATGACCATTTTCCAGTATTGCTTTAGTTACTACAGCAACCACCTGCTATTACAAACAAGCCCAATGCATCACATGTGCATGAGTTACTTAACTAAATGGGATTTGTTTTGTTTTTTTTACCACTAAATTCAAATGTAGTCAACAGTGTGCCATTAGATGTTTAACCTGGTTCAGTGTTATGGTTGCACATTTAAATAAGAAATGTTTTCGATTTATTCAAGTGAATAAAACAATGGATTGCTCTTGGGCTTGTGTCTTGTATGCAACATAATGCCCAAAGAAGCGGAATAAATGTTGGTACACTCCCAGCAAATATCCTGCGACTTGTTCCCCAAGCTGCCACCTTTGCCCCAATCTTTAATTTCTTACCTTGAGCAATGGCTTTGGACTCAAAACTCTGCAGCTCCACGAGTAAACATTTCCTCTCATTGGGGTGTAATCGGTAAATGAACTCTTTGGCCCTTCTTGGGGAGTTTAGCGGCTCCAGCGGCTCGTTCCGCCCATGAGTTCCCATCCAGCAGACCGGAGCGTGTCGCCTGGTCCCCGGCTGTAGCCTCGTCGCTACCACCGCCTCTGAACCGTGCTTCAGTCCCGACGGTAACTTCTGTACAGCCGGCCAAAGAGCTCTATGTAGGCAAATCTTGAACATTGTGCCCGTATAAACAGTAAAGCCAGTCTACAACATATAAAACCTGGTTTTCTTGAGTTTTCTTCGAGGGGCGAGATCCGTTCCCGCCTATCCGCTCCACCAACGGCTGGAGCTCGGGCTCAAAGTTGGCTGCTTGTCCGTCCTACAAGTCGGACTCGACGTCAATTAAGAATAAATAGACGACTTTTGAAGCCTCCTTCGGTAAAACCCGGGTTGAACTTCAAGCAGTAGGACATGTTCTCTTTTCGTGTTGTCCGCCGACGAAACCGTCTCATGATCTTTCAAGACTCGTCGGTCCAGAGCGTGAGACACACGCGGTTACTGAAGCTACAATGAACTGGAGCCACAGCAGCTGCGTAAAGTCAGCCGAATAAACCGGAACCTATCGGTTCTGCCTTTCAAAATAAAGGTCGACGTTTCCGGTCTAAACTGACATGACGCAATCCAAATAACACAAATAATTTTGATATAAACTTCTTTCTTTTAAATGAATAGTGAGTTTATGTGCACTTTGCTTCAAAAAGGGCATCATAACTATACATTCTAAAATAGCATCTTAATTCTACTTAACTGATAAAATTGTTCTAAAATTTCTATACATATATACAATCATGACCTCCATCAAACTCTGGAATAACAAACTACATTTTATATTTAGCTTAGATGTAATGTTTTGAATTTTAAAAAGTGTAAGTAGAAGGAAAATGTTTGTGTAAATTGGTATAACAGCACCACATACTGGTCGACTAAGTCAACTTCATGCCAACACATTGAAAACAAGTTTGAAAATGTGTTTCGAGTGTTTCTATGCAATTTAAGTGTGATGTTACAGAAAAAGACAAAAATACAATATCAAAGATGATTTTATTTACATAACTTTTTTTTAAACAAAAGGCATGTTTACCTTTTTTTTTTTAATGTTTCAGATCAAAATAATCAGAATCCTTCATTGCGTAAAGCGTATCAAAAAGCACAGCTTTTCAACAGAGTCCTCTAATACTTTTTCAGATTCCCTGCAGTTTGTTTTCAGCAACCAGCAATTAAAATAGTAACGAGCATGTAGTCAAACCGTGAAAGCATCCAGGTTATGGAAGTCATAACACAATATTCAAAGTAATGCTAAAAAACCTTTCATTCTAGAAAATTCAAAATGAGAATCTGTAGCTGCTGGAAGTTGGTGATCTCTAATCAAACTGGGGGAAAAAACTAAATATATATTCAGAGAATAACCTTGTACCAGCAGTTTAAAACTTGATCAGCAGGACGTTTTAAAAAAATAAGTGTGCAACATCCTGGATGTAGCTCAAAATTGCAACGTGCATCACAGATTAAATAACAGTAATGCTGAAGCTTCAGAAAATGGCTGCTTGGTGATTGCATTTTCAGGGCCAAAAACACACAATATTTTATTGTTAAAAAGAAAGAACTTCTCGACTCCTGCAGCACAACGCTGAAACAGACAGCACAGTTGCCCGTGCCAAACAATAAAAATCTGTCATTAACTGTGATTAGAATTAAGTTTGCTGGAAACAAATCATACATCTTTAATAATCTTTATTCCCCAACATTTAAAATAAATACTTTTTTCTCCCCATTTCAGGTGATTCAAACAGAACCGCTGGCACATTAAAGAACATTAACTGCACTGCGATATTACTTTACGCATTTTACTTATTTAAAATATAAATGCTCCAATTGCACTTCCATTACAGTAGTTTTATTTTGAAACAATATTTTCCGGGTCTGAAACTAGCCTTTAACCTAATTAAACGGTCTCTTCAAAGAAAATTGTGGAAATAAATCATTTGAGGCCCTTAATCTGAAGGAAAACGTGTGCTTTTATGTTTTATTGTATGGAACAACGTGCGCTAGCCTAAGTGAAGTCTCATAGGAGACCAATAAGAGGTATATCAGTAGCAAGTCACTCTTCCCAGACACACCTCAGTCTTCCTTTCTCCTGCCTGCATTCTGGATTTGTTCACAAGTATTTTAACATTCGTTTAAATTAAAAAAAAAATACTGAGTTCACCACAAATCTGAGTCATAACTGAGCTACAACTTGGAGCGCGAGAGTTCTCAGGGCTGGTTTGAGACGTGATAATAAAGTTTTGAGAACAAAATTCCTAAAGTAAAGCTAGAAGAATCACAGTAAACTTCATGTTTTAAACTCTACTTGATGTAGACCAGTCATTATTGGCAAATATGACAAAAGGTTTTTAAATATATTAAGCAACTAAGAAACAAGTGGGAACTCACAACCTGGCTGATTTCTAAAGGGAAGGACTGAATTTGAAAAAGTCATTCAACTATTGAACAGTCCAGCATTTTCCCTTATGGTTAAAGGACGTCGTTTTAAGACGCTGTCCAAATGCAATAAACGTCTGCAGGAAACAATAAGTAATCCTTTTCCACACAGACACAATTGTACTGTAGGGCTGAAGTGACAAAACCTGGAGGAAGTCTGAATACTTCCTCTTTTTAACCTAAAATAAAATTAAAATCAATTGCGTGGATTGTGTATCAGCAGCTTGGCCACACAGAGATGTTCCAATAAACTTTGAAGAAAACCGTACGAGTTGTTGGTCTGCATCATATGACCGAGCTTTAGGGTCACGATAAGAAAAAAAAATGAAAGCCATAAAATTACGCGAATAAAGTTCTAATATTATGAGAATAAAGTCGTACGACTTTTTTTTTTTTGGCAGCTCGTTTATTTTTTCCACGAGTTGGATCCACGACGCGACCTGTCAATCAATCCAGTAGGCGTGTCAGCAAATGACCAATCCGAAGCTAAATGCTCCTTACCTGCAGAGCTGCTGCTGCAGCCCATCAGAGCGTACCACCTGACTGTAAGCAGGTTCAAAGTCCTGATGATAATCTGATGATGTGCTCACAGATTAACTATGTCCTTATTTGTAAAACCAATACCAAAGTATAACTTAACAAGATGCTCAACATTCTTCATTTTACCAGTTAGAATGCGATAAACCCTGATTTAACTCATTTAGCATCGGATTGCTCATTTGATGACACGCATATTGGATTGATTGACAGGGCGCGTCATGGATCTGACTCATGGAGGAGAAAAAAACACGAGAGCTGCAAATAGTCTCGTATGACTTTATTCTCATAATATTAAGACTTTATTCTCATAATTTTATGGCTTTTATTTTTTTTTCTTAGCGTGGCCCTAATGCTCTGTCGTAGCGTCATGCATCCAGTTCACACACACACATACCCACTCGACACACACACACACACACACACACACACACACTGAGCAGCTTTTAAGCTTTCCACAAGCCCTTTAGAGTAAAACTCAAAAGAAAAAAAAAATAGAATGACATCCCTGACATTTTTTTTTCAAGAACAAATTAAGATGCTGAAGTTGACTTATAGTTCCTTTTTAACTTAAATATAAAGTTATATGTATATTATTTTCTATAAATCTTCTCTCGTCAGTCCTCAGTGGAGTCTGTGTCGTCGTTAATATAGTCTTCTTCGATTGGCATGCTGCCGTTCGGAGTCCCCCACTCGTCTTCGTCGTACTCTATGCTGTCGTTGTCCCCTGGCAGCTCATCGAGCCCCGCCGCTCCTTCTGCGGCGTGCGCACCAGCCGCTCCGTTGGCCAGCAACTCGGCGACCGGCTGCCCGAGCTGGTTTTCGCCTGGTGCGAGTTGGCCGGCGGCGGCCTGCGGCGCTGCGTAGCCGCCATTGTTGTTAGAGAAGGCGGCTCTGTCTTGGCCCTCGTCCTCGACATAAACTCTCTGGTGGCACATGGGGCACGTATCCTGGATGTAGAGCCACTTCCTCAAGCACAGCGCATGGAAGTAATGGTGGCACGGCGTGAGGCGGGCAGACGTGGCAAAGTCCTGGTAACAGATGGCGCACACGTCCTCGATGTCCCTCAGCTGGTCTCCGCGGACCTCGGGCAAGGAGTTGATCTTCTTGACAGCCGTGCGGCGGTTGATGAAGGTCTTCCAGCCGTTCTTGGCCTGCAGGTAGATGTTGAAGTAAGCGTGCAGGCACATCATGCAGGCGCGGATCTTACTGCCAGACTCAAACATCATCGTGTAGGCGCCGTTTCCAAACATGATGACGCCAAACAGGAACTCGATGATGTTGCCCGTGGAGCGAACGTAGTAGACGTAGTCGTCCAGCTTCTCCCACAGGACGTTGGAGAAGCCGTCAGCCATGAAGAGGCCGTAGACCGTCATGGACACCACCACCTGGAGAAGAACGTTCAGACACGAAAGGTTATTATACCTCACTGAAGAGAAGCTGCTGGAGCTGTAAAAAGAAAATGTTCAGTTATACTGCACTCTTCTTCTTTTACAGTCTACTGGAAAGTTAACGTGAAAACAAATTCTTGTTTAGGCCCATTAGCGAACACCGTCACGATAAACTTTGCTGGGCGATTAATTGTCTCAGAAATTATTGCGATAAACGATAATATTGTTGGAAATTTGACAATTCGTAATTATTGTAAAATTTAAGAAGAAAATATTTTCCATTTTATTTTATTTGTGTAGTTCCTTTTTTCGACCACCGGATGGCAGTATAAGACTATTTGAAACGAAGGATGGATACTGAGGGAGGGAGCGAGCAGCGTGTCTAAGAAAAATGGGAGGGAGGCGCTTTGCAGCTTTGACAAAACTGAGGTTTTACCCTAAGGTCCGCCTGTTAGCTTAGCTCGTAGCTCAGCTGCTTTTAACGATCCAAAAAACATGATTTTGGACGGTTAAAATGAATTTTAAAGAGAAAAGAGCACCGGAGTTGAGCCGTGTCTTCAGTAAAAAGAGACACGAAGAAACAATAAAGCCGATAAACGAAAAGGAGGTCGATAATTTTCATTCATCGTGCGATTAATTGATTTATCGTTTATTGCGACAGGCCTAGCGAACACTTCACTTCAACTTAACTCCTCTTTCTCAAAGTAGCAGAATATATACAGTAGTACATTTCAAGACAATCTTAATCTGTTATTATATTAAGTTATTAAATGTTGAATTCTTAATGATAGAGTCGCTTCTTTTTGGGTAATGCTAGTTGTTGTGGGGAGTTAGAGCAAGTAGGCGTGCTGCAGTAGAGCAAATGTAACTCCATTTTAGAAATGCTTGTCAACAAATGTGAGAAGTTCCCTGTAGAGTACGGTGTGAGTAATTAATAAAGTACAAATTATGTCATTTCAATCAAACAAACTATTAATCGTTCTTCTTTGTCACTGCCGTTTGTTTCGAAAAGCAAATTTCCAGCTTCAAAATGAACTGCAGAAAAAAAAACATTAAGTCTAAATTTCAAAAGCCTTAGAGACAAACATCTTATCACTTAATGTTTTATACAATTTTTTGAAAAACAAGTTTCAAATTTACACAAATATAAATGAAACAGGTCAGACATGTAAGGTGCTAATTAAATTTAAAATTCAATTAACTCATAAAATGCATAAACACTTTGCAACACAAGCTCCTACACATAAAAAAACAATTGACTGAAATGTCTAAACTCCTTGAACTCACCTTGAGGCAGAGCTCCACACAGAAAGCTGTAACAGCAAAGAGCCAGGTGTTGAGGGCGTAGTGATGCCAGAGGGCGTAGCTGAGCGCCACAGGGAGCACAAAGAGCGCCACGGACACCAGCAGGACGGGGAAGTGGCGTCGAAAGGAAGAGACGTGGGAAGCACTGAGGGACATCAGGACGGGATCAGTCATGCCGTGAATAAAGTGCAGGATGGCCGTCAGCAGAAGACACATGTTTCGGCTCAGGCGGACCTTGGGAGCGAAGCGACAAAGACTTTCTGTCACAAACGCTGAACTTAAATAGTTACAGCAGCACAGGAAAGAAGACGGAACATCAAAAACAGCATAACCTTACCACGATCATTTACCAGCGAACGTCTTCAGTGGAAGGATTGAATCAGGTGTTTTACTTCACAAGACAGGAAGTTGAGGCTCAATCGGTCTCAGCCTCGCTGTAAAAACAGCTGCTCCAATTCCACAAAGCAGACGTGCTTTTAGTTTTACGTGAACAGCGCAAGATGTCAAAAGGTCACTTGCAATGTTTGCGTTTTAAAAAATCATCATTTGCCAATTTCAGATTTTTTCAGATATTTTCCACTGTTCTGGGCTCATTTCTGCTTCTTTCAGCAAAGATGTGCTTTCTGAGCTTGTTCAACCTTTTCAGCTACTTTTTTTTTTTTTAGCTAATTTCAGCTGTTAGCAGATAAATTCAAATTTGTGTTAACTTCAGCCTAATTAACTTATTTCTGCTCCTTTCAGCTTTTTTCTGCTAGTTTCAACTTTTTCAGCTACTTTTTAGCTGTTTTGTGCTAAATTTAGCTTTTTCAGCTAATTCCACATTTGTTAGTTCATTTCAGCTCATTCCACTTCCTTCTGGTAGTTTAAGCTTCTTTCTGCCTTTTTAACAACTATTCAGCTATTTTTTTGTGCTAATGTTAGCATTTTTAGCTAATTTCCTAATTTTGTACTCACTTCTGCTTATTGAAATCTAATTCAGCAAATGTGTTTTTCTGCATTGTTCTGCTAACATGTGTTCTTCCAATTCAGCTGTTTTTTCAGCAATAAGCATTTACATTGCATTTTCGCAGAAAGTGTAATTTCTCCAGTTAATAATGATTTGAATTTAACCAAGTGTAAAAAAATAATAACAGCACAAAAGCAAGACAATAGTTAGCAGCAACCTACCAAGCGCTCCTCTGGGTCTAGGCTGCTTAATCCGGTCTGCAGAGCCAGAATGAAAAACAGAACAGGAGCTACGAAGCCTAACCGCTTGTCCTCCTCTTCTGTTGAACCTGAAGTTTCAAAACAAAATGCACTTGTGTTTAACCGCATCCTCACAGTTGTATCTGAAGTTTGCATGCATATAGTTCTGCATAAATAATGACTAATACCTATGAAAGCCAGAATGCTGAGACCGAGGTAGTGTGCTACAGAGGAGATGACGGCGCTCATCCCCAACACAGTCAGAGTGGAGTCACAACCAGAGATGATCAGGTTACTTGTCAGATCCCAGAACACGTCCCAGCTAAACAGGTAACCCTGAAAATGGTTTTCATAGCAAAAAGATTCATTAAGTCTTCAGTCTGTAATCTCGTCCATAATTCTTATGCTGGAGATCCAGTGTTGTTTCAAGGACTAGGACCAATGCCTGAAGATAAACTACTGGATGAATTGTACATGTCACCTTTGAATGAGTGACAAGAGGCAGAAGAACTGCTCTAAAATGTTTTGATAAATTCTACCTCCTAAATAAGTCAATTCAATTTTTTTTTTTTAAGTAAACCAGAGCAAAGAAACACTTTTAACTTGAGAAAGTCTCCATTAAAGCACAACAGAATTAGGCCTGTCACGATAACAAATTTTGCTGGGCGATTGTCTCAGAAATTATTGCGATAAACGATAATGTTTGAAATTTGACAATTAGTAATTATTGTCAAATTTAAGAAGAAATGTTGATTTTGGTGTGTAGTGCCTTTTCTGACCACTGGATGGCAGTATAAGACAGTGTGAACCGAAGGATGGATAGTGAGGGAGCGAGCAGCGTGTCTCTGAGTAAAAAGGGAGGGAGGCCTCTTGACGTGACATGGGCTGTCTCTCTTCAGTTCTCAAAATGGCGGACTCTCTGTGTGGTTTGAGCTCTTTAGCATTTTCCACACAAAGCTTTTAATAAAAATCAGTAAACAAGTTCTCAGCTTCTTTTTGCAGAGAAAAACAACTTCTTACACAAAGGCACAGGCTTCAACTGTGAATCTTGGAGCTTTGACAAGACGGAGGTTTATTCCCGAGGTCAGCCCGTTAGCTTAGCTTCTCGGCTTAACCGCGTTTAACGATCCAAAAACGCGATTTTGGACGGTTAAAACAGATTTTAAAGCGAAAAGAGAAAGGGAGGGGTCAGTGAAAAGCACCAGAGTTGAGCCTTTTGTCGTCCAGAAACAAGAAGAAACAATAAAGCCCATAAATGAAAATGAGGTTGATAATTTTCATTTATCATGCGATTAATTCATTGTTTATTGCGACAGGCCTAAACGGAACACATGGGACATTTCACTACACCGAAACCTTTAGTACTAACCTGTGCGTCTGAGCTCCCATCTGTTGCCCCTCCTGTGGCATCTCCACTTTCCTTTCTCACCGCCCGCACAACATAAAACAGTATGAGCGCCTGGGCAGTTACCCTAGTCAACCAAAACACTCGCAGCACATCAGGAAACCTGATTCTCTTCCACGTATCTTCTAGCAGCAGCTGAAGTCCATAGATCCTGTACATGTGCCGCACAAGCAGGTAGACGTACCGGCATGAATAGTAGAACCATTTGAGTCTGATGGCTAAGCAAACGGCCGTGTTGATCAAAAGCACCAGGCATGAGAATACAGCCAACATGTGTCTGACTTCTGCAGGAAGCTCTATCATCATCCCCCACAGAGGGATCATGATGTCCAAGACGACCAGCGCGGCAAACACCGACTGAAGGTTGAACAGGAACACATAGCCGATGCCAAAGATGAGCTGGACTGCGGCCATGCCAAGCCACAACGTCGTCCCGTTTCTGGGCAGCAATCTAAACCCCAGCGCTGCTTTGTAATAAGCGCCGTAGAAGTCTATGTGTGAGGTGGCATAGTAGTTTATGAGGGCAGCCGCCATGCCAAGGAGCACAGCAAAGAAGAGGGTGTAGAACTTTAACAAGGCTTTCTGGGAGAGCAGCAGCACCACAGTGGAGATAAGGACACCTGCAACACAGAACACACCAAGCACACAGTAAGCAATGAATAAAAATTAAGTATACGTCTGTGGCACTTCCTCGTATTTACTTATTTAAATGATAAAACAGCAGCCCTCAATAATGAACACCTACAAGAGTAGCACAAAAAGATTACTCATACATATTACAAAAGATAAATCTATGGAAGGTTGGTGTCACAAGTGTCGCACCAAAATAAAAAAATAAAAACAACCAAATGAAAAATATGCACTGCCGCGTGATTAAAGCCCGAGTCTTGACAATGAAAGGAATTTCCTTAAATAAATATTATTATAGCTTCCACCTACTATTTATATGCATTGTAGCAGCATCTTAGATTATATTAGATAATTTGATCAGCTACCAGAAATTATGCAGTCGAGATTCCCGCGTTCGGGGAATCCGCAGAGTTCAAAGCACAACCAACGCCATGGGTGAACCATCTTCATGATCATGGTCTCTCCCCTGCCTGGTAAGTTTTATATCATTACTTTCATTTACTTTTAATTTTATATGCTTTTTTTTAATTGTTTTACTATGTTTTTTTTTTTTATAAAACAGGTCTCTCTTGTAAATGAGTCCTTGTGACTCAATGAGACTAACCTCTATAAATAAAGGTTGAATGAATCTTTGGCTTCCTGCAACTGTCGGCTCAATTATTTTATTATAACTAAAAAGCTCTAATCAATGATGACCTTAGATATCTGGAATAAAGAATAGCCAGGCTAAACTTAAAACATCCTACTTCTGTTTATTATTATTATTGAAGGCATTTGTTTGCACGGGATGGTTTTCAGAATTTAAAGCTTTGATTCAAATCCAGATAAAACTGATTTTATATTTAATTGTTTTCTTTGTATCAAGTTCAAGCAGAAAAACTGGTGGCTGAAAACGTTCAAAAGGTACTTCTTATATGAACTCTTGCCCCTCAAATGTAGAGCCCTTTGACCCCCATCAAGAACACTTTATAGAGGTCATGAGGCGTTCAAAGGTCTGCAAACAGTTGTATAATCTGCCTGCTGGAAACACAATTTTGCGTTTCAAATTCCACGTGTTGTAAGGTATAACCAAAATAAATAGTTGTAGAGTTTTGTGTTATTCGGACGATGCCTAAACAAAGTTTTAAAATGACGGTCCTTTGAGTAAAATCGAGAAGTTTTCTGACCGACGGCAAGAGCGCCAGTTTAGCGGGGATACAAAATATGCCACGACACCTGTGAACGGATAATTATCATTAGCAGGATCCAAGCTAGTCAGGGAGTTGTAAGCGTCAGAGTTGAGTTAATATTAGCTAAATAAACTAGTTCAGGAGCATTTCAACAGATCAGCCTTAAATTTAAGTTCCGGCTGGCAGTTAAATCGGATTTCTTTCCTCTGACAGGTGGCAGAGAACCACACTGCTGGTTAGCATAGGTAGCTAGCTTAGCTGTCACAACTTGATGCTGCTTGTTGACATAAGCTAAAAAAAAATACAGCTTTACCTGTGGACTTAAAATCGCTTACCCGTAATTCTGACCAACACCTTTCCCGTTGCTCCGGCCCATCCCGACCCAGGGTCGTAGTAGGAGTTAAAAATAGCGTCGATAATGAAAATACAGGGAACTCGAAGCGCCACATCCAGCAGCGCTAAGGCCTGCTGGCCTATGCGGGCTTGAGTGGACGCCATACGACTTCAGGATAAGCTTTGCAGTCCCCGTCAGCCTCGGATATCCATGAAACATTAAAATATATTCAAGTCCACCAACAGCCGCGTTTGGTTTCGTTACGGAAGGCGGTTATTTGACGGTCAGCGACCTGCCGCCGCTCGCCATGTTCGCCCAGCTGAGCCGAACATCCTGTTGCTTCCTTGGTTTTCTGTAGATGTGGAGCTCCTGTTCACACTCAGAGTCTTATCGTCACTGAGAGGTCAAACTCAAGCTGCTCTGTTCGATCCGGCGCTGGTTATTAACGGGGAAATCCACATTTCCTCGAGCTCCGGCTTTTGGGAACACCACAGAAGTTGTTGAGTTATTCAGACGTAACGTCACGCAACGTTCGACGTAGGTGGGCGTGTCGGCTGACGTAACGAGTTTCACGTTTTACTCAGAGATTAAGGCAAGCCCTTTTAACATAAAATCGGATTCACCACGCTTACATTTCAGATATCTGAAATTGTCTGTTGTTCATTTGATGAATGATGAAGGGGATTTGTTAAAATATGAGGAATTCAGTAATAAATATAGAATAATATGTACACCGGAGGATTACAGAAATGTGGTTGATAATATTCCAAGGGCTATGATTCATTTAATCAAGAATAATTTAGATCAGACTCCAATCCCTAGATTACATAAAATAATAATTAATAACATAAACTTTGTAGATAAAAAGTGCAATAACCTGGTTTTGAGAAAACTCCTAATTGAAGAATTATACCCTGGGTCCTCTAAAAGAACATGTTACTTAAAAAACTTTAACAAACAAGAAATTTGTTCAATTAGAACTAAATTTTTGAAATTTCCAATCCCTCCTAAATTTAAAGAAATCCACTTTAAAATTCTAAATGATATTTACCCTTCACAGGAATTCATTAAGAGAATTTTTAAATTTGAAATGGAGGAGTGTCGTTTTTGTAAGTCATTATCGGAATCAACAGAACATTTGTTCTACGAGTGTGAAATTGTAAATAATCTTTGGAAAGAAATATATAACTGGTTGATATCTAAATCTCTCCAAGTTGAACCATTTTCCTGGAATGGAATAAAATTTGGAATTTCAATAAGGAATAAAAAAGTTGAATATTTGATTAATAATATTATACTGTTTGCAAAATTTTACATTCATAAATGTCGTTTTACAAAATGTCTTCCAGCTGTAAAAGCATTAAAAAATGATTTTTTATTATTTTGTAAATCTTTGAAAAAAATTAATACAGCCCCAGCAGTCAAACTTTTTTCAATAATATCAGAATTTAAGTTGGTATAAACCCCACGTTTTTAGTTTATTTTTGTTTTTATTTTATTGTGATGTTAATATTATTTTTTATCCCTGATTACTCGCCTATAATTTGTTGTTAATATTTTTAGAATGCACTAAGATGTTGTGGTTTTGTTCGGGATATTGTTGGGGAGGTTTTTTTGTATGTATATTTTCTGGAAAGTTTCTTGATTGTGAAGCTGTCATTGTGACTGTCTTTGTATGTCTTTTTGTGTTTGTATTGTTCTAATAAAAAAAAAAAAAAAAAAAAAAAAAGATATCTGAAATTGATTTATGACTAGACATATTAGTTATTTAAGATATCTTGAATTACATTTTGACTAGTCAAAATTCATTTTAAGATATCTTGAATTGTTATTCAATTCAATTATTGTTATTGTTATTCTGACTACTCAGAATGTAAATACAGATATCTTAAATTAGCATTCTGACTAGTCAAAATGTAATTGTTCCTAGTCAAGATTCAATTTAAGATATCTAGAATGTAACTACAGATAGTCAGACTACTCGATTTTATGTTAAAAGGGCTTGCCGTAAACGATTTGCTAAACACCAAAATAAACACATAACCTAACACAATGTGAGCTCCACTTAAACATATGTTTGGTTTTATTGTATAGGTACTCATAGCAATAAGATCAAAATCAAATAGGTTCTGAGTTATTAAGAATAAAAGTTTGTTTTTTTTAGTTTACTTTTGGAGTTTTCCAGATATATTACGGTAAATGCATTTATGAAATGTGGGTTCATACTCAATGTAAGCAAAGCACTAAATTTCACTGAAAAACACGTGGAAGCTTAAATCACGTTTTGCCTACATTAGGCCTGTAAGCTGAGGATGCAAATATGGCAGAATCGAACAAATGTAGAATCTCAGAGAAAACGTTTAGGTGATAATGTGAGTGAATTTGCTGCTAAACGCAAAATAGAAATAGAAAGCCAGCGTGAGACAACTCTCAGAAATAAATATCGGCGCTCAAGCAGAACAGAGGAGCAGCGTAAAAACAAAGCTCAGCATCGAACACACACAGCTTTTGCAGTATTGTGTACTATTTTCAGTCACCGTGGCTCTTTTTATTGGTAAACAATGCCCACGGTAGTTGGCAACCAGTGACGGATGTTGCTTATATTATTATTTTTTTCATGTTAGGCACATATTACCTTGTATTTTGTTATTACATGATACTTTGTACAGAATGCACATTTTTTATGTCTTAATGTGAATGGCCAACCATAATTATTTGTTTAATACTGTTACTATTAAAGACAATCATAATAATAATTATTATTATTTTTTCCATTTACCCTTTATTTATCCAGGTAGTCTCATTGAGCCACGAGAACTCATTTTCAAGAGAGACCTGTTTAGGGAGCAGATGGTGGGGGTTGAGGGCCTTGCTCATGGGCCCAGAGTGGGGTGAATGAGGGTGGAGGCAGGTGTGGGTGTGTCACCTTATCCACCCACATTTTGATGTTGACGGTACCGGGAGGTGAACCTGCGACTTTCCAATCACAAGCCCATCTTCTAATCTCTGCGCCACCACTCCCCCAATTAGAGGATATACTTAAAAATTATAGCATTGCTGAAGAGTTTCAATCAGGCAAGTGTAACCTCACTAACACACAACCCGTCACAAAAGGTAAATGTTCAGTTGCAGGGCTGGGAGCATGTGAGAATCTGTAAAACCTTACCAACGCTCATTTATACCATAATTCCAAATCGATACAGTGTATTTCAGACAAGCTGTTTTATTTGAATATGGACACTGAAAATGCTGTTATGAGAATATGACATATGTTCAGCACTAATGTTATTGTTTATTCATGTTTTCATTATTTCTGTGATTATGTATTTGGCATCCATCAGGAAGTACTGAAGCCCCGCCCCCTTCTAAATCTAATTTCTCAGAGTCTCCTCTGCGATCAGCTGGAGCTGAAGAAAACTTTGAAGGTGTTGTTGTAGATTGCGTTGGCCAGTTCCTGTGGATCCTCTTCCCGTGCGCCTGCCATCACCTCAAGAACTTGTCTGAAGAAGACAAACGATAAATGTTGAAAATGTTTTCAGTGAGTTTTAGAGCTTTGACCTCTTGGCTCATGTGTAAAGAGACTCACATGATGTGACACGGCTCATTCCTGTCCTTCAGGCAGTGTCCCGCCTCCCATTTCTTCTTCGTTGGAAATGTTGTTTTAACATATTTGGAGCCTGCGTGCGTGTTCTTCACAGCACACCATGGAGCATCTGGAGGGAGAACAATGTAAAAGTAAAATAAAATGCAATCTAATATGTACTCAAAGAATGCACCTGCCACAGCTGCAAAGAAAATGACCAGGATCTTCAAAATGAAAGTTTTTGTCTTTTACTTTGAACAAAAGTCGCATCTTTTTTTTTTCTTTGTCCAACTTTATGCAATTTAGTGAGGTTTTGTTGCGTAATGCTGCTAACAAGCAAACACATTGTCCTAAAACACTCCAATTACTTAAGTTAGCTTTGATATGTTCAAAAACAGCAAAAACATTTCAAATTTTTGTATTTTGTAATACAATAAAGTCAAAACATTTTCTAAATCAGATGTGACACAAACAGTAACATTAGCTCACCTGTCTCTATCATGAGCCTCTCTGTGGGGATCGACTTCATGGCTTCAATGTTGGCCTCGGTTTTCAAAGAGCTGAAAAGTTGTAATATTCTTTAAAAAGAGGTTTATGTATATCATAGCTGCAGCTACATCTAACAAGGTTAAGTCAGGTCCCCTGGACAGATTCTTCTTGCTGAAACATTGCATCTTTTATCCAAAAGACTTCTTCAGTCTGAGAGACTGAAGAAGTGCCTTGTTAGATTTATCTACCTGGATTTATGATCCAGTAATTAGTTAAACACCGGAGGTGAATAACACAGCAACGTCGCATAAATGAGGGTGAACCAATGAATTTCAAGACGAGTATGTAGAAAAAGCCATTTAACAAGGGAGGAGGTGACAATGACGTGTTCTATAAGGAGCATTTCTAACAAAGCCAAAAGCAGACTGATAAATTGTGTCCAGCTTACAAAGGACACCCTTAGAATCATGTCTGTAAGTTATGTCTCCATAATCCAACAGAGGTAGAATGTTTTTTTCAACAATGGTGCGATTTGAAGCCAATGAAGATTGATTTCTATATAAATAACTAAGTCTCGTTTCAACCTTGGATTGTAAAACATTAACATGATGTGAAAAGGACAGAGCACCATCAATCCAAATTCACAAATATTTATAAACTGTTACCTCTTCTATGATATCACCGTTTACAGTTGTGAAGTCCGCCGAGGTTGCTATGGTTCCTCCTCCATGACAGAACCGCATAAATTTAGTTTTCTTGGCATTTAAGGACAAATTTAAGTCAGGAAAAAAAACCTGCTGGATTTCAAGAAAACCACATGCAAGGGACTTCACAACCTCATCCAGAGTAGAACGAAAAGCATATAAAATAGTGTCATCTGCATATAAATGAATGGAGGCCTCACTAACTAATTTATAAATATGGAGAAAAGAGTTGGACCAAGAATGGAGCCTTGGGGTACACCTGACATAACCGAAAGAAACTGTGAAGCATGAGAGTCAACCTTCACTCGCTGCGACCTATTGAAAATTTAATTATGGAACCATTTTAGTGGCTGTCCCAAACTGTTTAGAGTCCAATAAAGATGCTATATCATTAAGAATTTTCCGAGCGGCCATAATGCAACCATGCCCTGAACGAAGAGTGTGGTGCTGCCAGGCCAGCACTGTAAATAACAATTTGTTCTTAGTGTTTATGCCTGGTTAAATAAAGATGAAATTAAATGATAGCTGTAGCTACAGTATCATTTACTGTAACTGAGTCTAGCTGCTTATTCAATTGTTGAAAGTGTTTTTTTTTCTTTTGTTAGCTAAAATCGGCAAAATAAAAGTGCTTTTGGTACAGAGCAATTTTTTTTTTCATCCCTCAAACTATCCATGCATTTAATAACAGACAATAAATATTGTATAACTAAGCAAATTCAAAATGGTCTTAAATATTCAATTTTTGACAACACCAATGTTTCTCTAAAATTATAATACTGTATACTGTAAATTATCGGTGAAATTAAAAAAATATATAAATATAATTGTGTTTTTTTTACGATTGTATTGTGTATTTAGTTGAAGAAAGTCAAGACCAATAAGAAAATGAGACCCAAGTTGATCCAGAAAATGCACGTTTTAACTTTACTAACACAACCAAACATTTTTTTTAATTTGAATTTTCTCACCAGCCGTTAATTCCAATAAACAGATCCAAGTCAACGAGTGCAGCAGCCTCCCCTGCTGTCCCATCGAACGAGTGAACCTGCGGGAGAAAAATGAAACTAACCTCGGAATTTATCTTTACATGTCTTATCTAAAATGAGGTTTGAACAGACTTTACAGAAAATTTTTGGTTAAAAAAAAAAAACTTTTATTGAATGACTATTAAGTTTTTAGATTCTTATTCTGTGTTTTTTTTTTACATAAAGTCAAAAATATCTCTGCAGTGGCAAAAGAATAATTCAGTTTTACTGATTTTATTAGTGTTTCCAAAGATTACCAATAATTACAAACATTTAAAGCCATCAAATAAAACAGCTTCCAAACAAATCAAATAGCAAAGGTAAAAAAAAAAAAAAACTCTAAAAATCTTGAAGATGTTGGTGCAAAGTAACGCCTGCTTGGAACCAGAGAGTAAATTTAAAAAAAGCAAATAACTACAATATAAATGGTCCTCACCACTCCTCCAACAAATCTGTCTCGATTTCTCTTCATGATGTCTGTCGAAACAAGAACAAAAGACAACGAACAGCTCTGTGAAAAACGCTTCATCATAAAACAAACTTGTTTCGTTTTGTTTATCGTTGTCCTAAACCCACCAATAAACTCCTGATGGGAGTTTCTGCAGTGCAGAAACATGGGCAGCTTGGTCTCCTCTGCCAGCTCAAACTGCTTCTCAAAGTATCTGCAATAAACCAGAGAGCAAAAAAAGAGAAGGAGACGGAGTTGAAAAATCAACTTAAGACTCAATAATAATGATGTTTTATGAAAACTGGACCAAATTCTGCATTTTCACAACTGAGAATGTCCAAGAGCCTCATCTGACGCCCACAGAAGAGAGAGGACAAGACGAAAAACGTTTGAAGAAGACATCTTGGTGCGTTTAAATCAGGCAGCTGCACGCCTTCTAATTTTTTGAAGACGTGAGTTTTGTAGTTTTTGCAAGCTGAACTTACAAGCAAATCATTGCCCTTCCCCTCCCTACTGTGGGTTAGGGTCTTTGAATGACACCTTTCCTACAGACCTGGCAAACGTCAAAATGCCACGTGAACTAAAACAAAAGTGCTTGTTTATATTTGTTTACTAACATTTGGGGGAGTGGTGGCGCAGAGGTTAGAGAAGGTGGGCCCGTGATTGGAAGGTCACTGGTTCAACTCCCCATACAGACAACATCAAAATGTGGGTGGGAAAGGTGAAGCACCTGCTTCCACCCTCATTTACCCCACTTTGGGCCCTTGAGCAAGGCCCTTAACCCCCACCATCTGCTCCTCTGGGTGCCCTCGATGGCAGCTCTCTGCTCCACGCAGAGGGCTGTGGTAGCTCGGTGTCTGTGGTTGCATCAGGAAGGGCATCCATTATAAAAACAATTGCCAAGTCGTCGAGTGAGTATTTGTTTACTAACGTTTATTTGTGGAAAAGTCTGTATGAACCCAAGATCTGATGATCAGCTGCCACCACAGAACAAAAGATTAATAGTTGCAGGTTATAAAACACAGAGACATACAAACTTACTTTAGTTGAGTCTCTTTCGGACAAAACTCCAACCTGTCAAAATCTGGAACATAAAAAAAACAACTAAACATCATATTTACTTGACAAACTGCACATGCATACCTAAAAATGAGGCAGGTGTAAACCCCGACTTTCATTAAGACACACCTAGTCCACACTCTCCAATGGCCACCACCTTTCCTCCGCGCGCTGATGCCAGATCCTTCAGTCCTGAAAAGTACTGCGACTCTCCGTTCTGCTCAAACTCGCTGCAGCGGGTCGGATGGCAGCCGACTGTGCAATAAAACTCATCTGGAATGAACGAGGAAGCTTGTTTCATTTACAGCTATTACAATAATCCAGCGTGCAGCTGATTTTAGTCATGAAGAAGCAACAATAAAGACAACTAATATAAGTTTTTAGAACTTGTGAACATACTTTAAGTTCAGCAGTAAAATACAATGAATATGAAGGCCTGTCGCGATAAACGATAAATCAATTAATCGCATGATAAATGAAAATTATCAACCTCATTTTCATTTATCGGCGTTATTGTTTCTTCATGTCTTTCTCTTTCTGCTGAAGACACTGGATGGCAAAAGGCTCAACTCCGGTGCTCTTCACTGACCCCTCCCTTTCTCTTTTCTATTAAAAATCCATTTTAACCGTCCAAAATCACGTTTTTGGATCATTAAAAGCAGCTAAGCTGAGAAGCTAAGCTACGAGCTAAGCTAACAGGCCGACCTCGAGGAAAAAACCTCCGTCCAAAACTCACGGCTGAAACCCGTGCCTTCGTGTAAAAAGTTGTTTTTCTCTGCAAAAAGAAGCTGAGAACTTGTTTGCTGATTTTGTTATTAAAAGCTTTGTGTGACAAATGCTATGCTAAAGATCTCAAACCACACTGAACGTCCGCCATTTTTGAGAACTGAAAAACAGGAACGAGAGACAGCCCATGTCACGTCAAGGTGCCTCCCTCCCATTTTTCTTAGACACGCTGCTCGCTCCCTCACTATCCATCCTTTGTTTCAAAATGTCTTATACTACCATCCAGTGATCAAAAAAGGTACTACACGAAAAATTAGCCAACATTTCTTCTTAAATTTGACAGTAATTACTAATTATTGTCAAATTTCAAACAATATTATCATTTATCAAAATAATTTCTGAGACAATTAATTGCCCAGCAAAATGTGTTATCGTGACAGGCCTATAGATAAGTACATATAATTCAGACATGCTGCCATTTTTGTTACCTCTGGTCTCAGCTAGTGTCACAGCTTCCTTGCTGTCTCCAAGGCTCCCTCCTGTTATCATAAACTGACACAAAGCAGCAGATATAAAAATTCCACATATGAACATTATTATGTATATATTTAGTTTTTCAACATTTCTGAACAATATCATAAACGAGGCGAACAGCTATTCTAAACGAGACTACTCAAAAATCAAGTTTTTATGAAAAAGAAATGTCACGGCCGTTTGAGCAACAGTATTTATCGTTAACTGCATCACTTTTGGATATTAAAACTTGTTTATTTTGTTTAAAAAAACAGAGGCTGGACAACATATTCTGCCCAACTTTGCCGCAGCAACAGCCAGTGATGCGGCCATGTTGATTTGCTAATACTCCTCAGCTGTGTCTGGAGTCCAGGCGTTCTCAGCAAACCATCCATCATCCATCCGTTTCCTTTACCCGCTTCTTCCATTTATGGCCACGGGGGGTCGCCAGTGCCCATGTCCAGCAATCACCGTGCGAGGGGCGGGGTACACCCTGGACAGGTCTCCAGTCCATCACAGGGACACATCGAGACAAACGAGACAAACACCCATTCACTCTCTCACTCACACCTAGAGACAATTTAGAGTTACCAATCAACCTAAGATGCGTGTTTTTGATCTGTGGGAGGAAACCGGAGTACCCGGAGAAAACCCACACATGCACAGAAAGAACATGCAAACTCCACCCAGAAAGGCCCCCAGACCAGGATTTGAATCTGCTCGCTGAGAGGCAGCAGCTCTACCAGTTGCGCCACCGTGCAGCCCTCCCAGCAAACCATTTGGATCTACTGGGTTATCTTCCTGTGCCATCTGCTCCAACTCAACACCAGGTGGTGATCAGTTGACAGCTCAGCTAATTTCTTCATCTGAGTTTCCAAAGCATACGACCGCAGATCAGATGACACGACTACAAAGTAAATCATCGATCTGCGGTCTAGGGTGTCCTGCTGCCAAGTGCACTTATGGACACCCTTATGTTCGAACATGGTGTTTGTGATGGACAAACCATGACTAACATAGACTTCGCTCAGGTTCAGATCAGAGGCCGTTCCTCCCAACGTCCCTTCAGGTCACACTGTCACCAGCAAAGGGCATTGAAGTCCCCCAGCAGAATAAAGGAGTCCCCATCTGGAGCACCTTCCAGCACCCTGGCTAAGGACTCCAGGAAAGCTGGGTACTTTGAACTGTCATTTGGTGCATAGGCACAAACAACCACCAGAGCCTGTCTCTCTACTCAAAGTATTCAAAGGTGCAGGGAAGCTACCCTCTCATCTACTGGGGAAAGCTCCAACACACAGGCACCAAGTCGGGGGGCTAAAAGTAGACCCACACCAGTTGGTGCCTCTTACCATGGGCAACTCCAGAGTGGAATAAGGTCCAGTCCCTCTCAAGGAGATCGGTGGGCGTCGAGGTGAGCCCAACTATATCTAGTTGGTACCTCTCAACATCATGCAAGCTCGGGCTCCTTTCCCACCAGAGAGGCGACATTCCATGTTCCAAGGCCAGCTTTGGTAAGCCAGGGTCAGAGCACCAAGGCCTTCAGATACAACCCATGGCACATTGCACCCGACTTGTATAGCCCCTCCTGTAGGTGGTGGGTCCACAAGAAGGCAAACCTATGTTGCTCATTTTGGGCTGAGCTTGATATAGAGACCCATTCACCAGGCGCTCACCAACGAGCCTCTCCCCCAGGTCCAGCTCCAGGGTGAGGCCTCGGTAACACAACCGGTCAAGGGACACGGAGCTCCTTGTTGTTTTCTGTCCATACATTTCTTTGGATTCACCTTTTTTTGGGACACCCCTAGTAGTAACTGAATAAATTGTAATAATAATATTAAAAAATATAATAAAAAAAAAAATAAATCTTGGAAACCAGCGCCTGCCGCTATGTTTCTACACCGGATGAACTTGCATGAAGGTGCTGGACGTGTAACATACCTTTTCAACGCCAGCTTTAAGTGCTCTGTCCACGATCTGATCAAAATCATCTGTCAGGAAAAACACGACAAGCTTAACCTTAACAACACACACGTTAAAATAAGTGCCCGAGCGACTCACCATCATGTTTCTGCTTTCCTCTGTAGAGTCCTCTGAACATGGGGTCTGTCAGGTTTACACCAACATCTGGAGACAACAAAGCTGAGGTTTAGTGCAAAATGTTAACCGGAGACACATTATTTAGTTTTTAAACATGACTGTGATAATAAACTATTCTGGTTCGACGGTTTACATTTAATAAATGAAATATATCAACAACACAAACCAAGAGTTTATGCTTAGTGCTTATTCCCAAGTTTGTCTGAAACAGTAGAAAATAATTTCCTGTCAATTTGCCCTTTAAGTCTAATCAGTTTTTCATTGAATGGTTCACTTTTTTATGGTTGTGGACATTTAAAAACAGCCATTGCTCTGATTGTTCACAAGTAAACAGATACTGAAATATGCATCTACCTTAGTATTTAAATAAGAGTATCACAAGCAAAGTTGGATACATTTAAATGTTAAATGAGTCAAGGATAAATTATTCTGCCTTCACACTTGATGCTAGATTTCTGTTTTACGAACAGCTACGACATTAACTAAACAAACTGCCTTATGTTACTGTTTTACAGCACGCAATATAAAGAAATAACTGGGTGTACTTTGTCTTTTATTCATGTTTTATTTAACCGTGTATCTCACCTATGAATTTGTGCTGTGCCATGGTTGAAGCACTTCTAAAAAGAACCAAACATGCAGCTCTCAAACCCATCATGTCGCTTTACCATAATGACTACTGTACAACGAAACTGTATTATTTAAACAAATTGTAGGCAAGTCAACACGTCTTATACGCATATTACATACTTATTTAAATCATAATAAACTGTTATTGTTGTTTTATAGTTATAATGGTAACGATTAAAGTGTAATCAACAAGATAAGTAATTATTTCTGCGCGCTAGTTAAAGTATTACGGCGTTGACGTCGAACGTACACAAAGTCCCAGAATCCACCGCGCCGGTTGCGGCGAGAAGGTGACAGAGGACAGCGGCCATGGCCTCCACCTATCTTACTCGCCAGCAGAAAGTGATGAGGCTTTACAAAAAATCACTCAGACACCTTGAGTCGTGGTGCATATTTAGGTAAGAAAAGTGTATTTTTTTTAAAGAGGAGTGAGGAGGAACTGCTGGGTGACGTTTACCTATTATGTTGCTAAGCTAACAGTGAAGCTAAGTGCTAGCCGCTGTTAGCAGGTCACTCTGACGTCATCAAAATACAGTAGTTTTGATTAATCATTTCCAAAGTAATAGATATTTGATACGTTTTCATGGTTCCAGTTTATGCATAATAAAAATCTAGTTATAGGTTGTAACTATATTGTTTATTTGTGTAGAACAGGCCTTATCCATTGTTCCAATTCATACAAAACTTGTCAAAATGCATCATGTAGCAAGTGTTTAAATGGTACAGTCAGGCGACGTTTTGTTTGTAGTGTGCCTTTCATATATAGACCTTTACACCCTCTAGGTAAATGACTGAGAATGTAATCACTTTTATTAAATTACAAATAAGCTACCATTTGAATAATGGAGCATTAACAAAATGTGTTGTACCTTTGCATTTTGCTCAAGAATGTTGCTTCCAGATCTCGCAGACATGTGTTATTGTAAATAAATATGAATAAAGATGGTGTGTCTTGACATCTGTTATGGTGGAACTTGGTTAGTTTTCAAATTAAGATAATTTATTAGAGTAAAAATTACATTTAGGTGTTAGATATTCTTACAGTTGTTTTTTTTAGAAGCTATGCATGTATTTAGGCTTTGTTTCTCCTGTATGAAATACGTCTGAATTCAGAGAAAATGCAGATGAACATGTCTTACTATCGTGATCAAGTCTTTGTGCTTTAAGATCTAGTTTCTTATTTTGAACGTCGTGAAGTTGCAGAAAACATCCTGGTCATTCCAGATGTTGTCGATACAGTTCATCAAATCAAACTGTTGTTGCGTTTTTTTTGTTGTTGTCTTTTTCAGAGATAAATACCGTTTCTATGCCTGCCTTCTGCGGGATCGTTTCGATAAGAACAAAGATGAGAAGGATCTGATAAAGGCCACCATGATGCTGAAAGCAGGAGAGGAGGAGTTCTGGGCCAACCAACATCCTCAGCCCTACATCTTCCCTGACTCTCCTGGAGGGACCTCATATGAAAGATATGAGTGCTACAAGGTGAGGCAGGCCAACGGTGATTTAAACTGTGAATGAACCAACAATCTGTCAAAGACCAGTGTTTTGATGGTAATAATAGAAGAAAAAAAAACATCTTAATTGTTCCATTATGAAAAGCAGAACCAATAATATTGGATTTTATCAGTTAAAATGTAGCTACAGAACTCATTTAAGCTCTTATCAGCTGATTGAGCACCTGATGTCTTAATGAGGTACTATAGTCTTAGATTAGGTGATTGGTAAAAAAAAAAAAAAAACTAATGCTTATAGCCCCAAAAGATTAAATAACTGAGCTCTGTTTTTGTCTTTGAAGGCCCCAGAGTGGGTGTTGGAATCCTGGCACCCCTCAGAGAAGGCCATGTACCCTGATTACTTTGCTAAAAGGGAGCAGTGGAAGAAACTGAGGATGCAGAGCTGGGATCGGGAGGTGAGCAGTAACTTCTCTAACAGCGTGTTTTATTTTACTAGTACCTTACCCTTTGTAACTCTTTGCATGAAAAACGGGGTGTTTTTAAACATCTGTTTGCACACGTCTTTTTTTAGTCGGACACAAAAACCAGCTGAAAGGAGTTGTCACTTGTACTAGATTATATAATTACCTGATTGGCAGATAGTTTAGAGGTTTCTATTTATTTCACTTGTTTGAAGTAAACATTTGGGCTTAGCAAATAAATTGTGAAACAGCCAGAATCCCTAAAAACTGTCTGTAACTGTTGTTACACTGTGGACCTAAATTACACGTTTTCTGTTCTTAGTCCTATTTTTCTTCTGCCTCCATTAATGGAAGGCAATTTCTACCAAAACAGACATGGTTTTATTGGTAAACTCAACAGATGGTGCAAGATGTTTTTGGTCAAACCATGAAGGATTGAAATCCTGATTTTTCTCTTCAGTTAAAAGTAGATTTTACATCTTGTTAAGAAGATAAAATTAATTTGCAATCTGCTGTTTGAACAGCCTTTTGCATCCATGTTGATGCTAAAAAGTTTTATTTAAAGTTTTTCTATGTTCAAAGTACACGCAAGCTATTAACTCATAGTGTTAATACTTACATTAGGTATAAGCGCTGCTTTTCAAAGGATAGATGTTAAGTGAGCCGGTGCAACAGTGGAAGAGTTTACGTTTACAGATGTTTATAAAACTAGTACATGCTGCTTCGTCTTGTGTACATTTTCTGAAACAACTGATCTTTTAACACAAAAACACAAGTTTAATCTCAAATACATGTTCAGTTTACTTGGAAAATGTTTTATTGTTTTTCATTGAGAACACATTTTCTAATCTGGAGTAGATGTGAAAACGTGCACAAGATTCAGAAATGTAAAATGACGTAGAACAGTTGAACCAATCTTTTGTCGCCATCCGTCTGCTTCCAGGTTGCTCAGCTGGAGGCCGAGACTCCAGCAGGTGGCCCCCAGACCGAAGCCCTCCCTCCTGCTCGTAAGGAGGGTGACCTCCCACCTCTGTGGTGGAGCTTTGTCACCCGTCCCAGGGAGCAACCCTGATGAACAGCTTTCCTCCACAGGGCTTGGTCTGTCTTGCTTTGAGAGAAAAATCACCAAAAAACAAACTCAAGGCGACTGATCTCTCATCTAAGTTTTCTGAAGAGTTCACAGGTTGAATAATGTTCACAGAAATCCTGAATTCTTTAAAGGTTTAAGTTGTTGATGACGCTGAACAATTCTGTAGATGTTCAACTTATTACCTGTAAGTTCTCTAATAAATACATTTATGATCAGAGCTCAGCGGATGTGTGTTTAATACAAAGAGTTTAGATGAAGCAGAAATCTGTTTTATCTTCATCAAGGAACGTGTTCATGATAAAAGAATGCAGGAAAACGTGACAGAATGTGAAATGATAAAAAATTATTTAAACAGATTAGTCCAGCTGCACATCATTTTTCTGTTATATAATATACTGTACGTAAAATGTCAATAATGCAATAATACTGTGACAATAATACTATAATACAGTACAGTAAAACAATACTGTTTTTTAATTAAGCACCCCATCCCTGTTTAGTGTTCTTCAATTAAAAAAAAGTTTTTGAATCTTAAGCTGGGAAAAGAAATGAAAGAAGTGGTTTATTTTTTTATGTTGAATTTCTTCCAGCTAACGCATCTGATCACCCAAACTTGTCTTGAAGCTCCAGCTCTGAGCAGATGAGCTTTCTGCTGCACGTGCAGTAAAAAAAGTTTAAATGTTTTTCATTTTTAAACTAACTGAAGACCAATATATTGAGCATGTGAGGAGATGACTTTAAACAACAAAACGGTATTTTTGTGGTTGTATTAAATACTTTTAGAAGTTCACTTAACGGCACGACACGATTGTTACACCTGCTGCTAGATGACGGTGATCCCATCGCTATGGCGACAGACGTAACGATGAAGGTGGTCGGAAGCTGCGTGGTCGAATCATCATGGTGACGGTCTTCAGAGAGTAAAAGTCAGAGTCTTTCCATGAGAACCAAACGATGCCGTCCGGCCCCAACAAGTTGTTTGCCTTCAGAGAATAACGGCCGCCCTAGAAGAAACACATGTTCAGTAGTTTTATTATTCAGGTTATTTCTGGAAAAAATATATATATATATTTGCAGAACTCTTTTGGTCCCATCTGACAGCGATACGCCTTATGTTTACAACAAAAAAAAGATATATGTCCCAACAAAAAGGTCAAGAGACAAACAAAATTAATGTAATTTCTGGACTATAAGCTGCTACTTAGACTAAGATTTTCCTTAGTTTACTCATGTCCTAGGACAAATTTGATAGTATCTGAGGCCAAATGGGGGTGTCGGATTCAGATGAGCCACAATTGTTGATTTTCTTCAGGCAGACTGTTTTTTTGTCTTGTCAGCCTTGAGTCCTGCTCGTACTTTCTAGATCCAAAATGGCCAGATTTATGGGCATTCCACTGATGTGTGCTATGAGCGTTCTTCAAGGTCGACTCCAACATGCTGATGAGTCCTAGAAGCCGCAGGTGGCCTGCGATTCTCTCAAATCGCTTCAATCTTATGATTTAGCTCGTATATCAGCTGATTTTGAGTACTCGTAGCCCGAACCAAACCTTCACACAGACTCTGAAGTTTTGCCATGG